GCTGCAGATTTTTACCCCAGCAATCACAGAGATATCATACAAATAACTGTTGTTTAGTCATCAGAAGGAAGACAATCTTAGGCTAGTCTATCTTCACTTCACTTCTGGAAAAAGGAATTCAGCAAATACAGGCCTCTTGCTTCTCCATGACGTAAGCCAGTTGTTGTCTTTTTCAGTTATATTCTACAATTGTAAAGTTCCCCCTTCTCAGAGTGTTAAGTTTTCTAGTGTCTAGTTTTGCATTGTCACATAGTCACCCATGAGCCTAAGTAATGTTCTTAAAACTTTTGTTTTAAAAATCCACTTGTTACTTAATATTCTTAGTTCAGATTTGATAATTGTCATAGTGCTACATAACCTGATTCTCAAATAATTAAAAATTAAAAATTTTGTACAACCAACTTCAATATAAATTATTATTAAGAATAAATTAAAAATTATTGGTCAGACCTTGATCAAATTTATATGGGACCACATGAGAAGCACCAGCTTTCAAATAAAAAAAGAAAACATACAGTCGAATTGAGTACCGTCTCCTTTTTGAATTCGGTAGAAAATACATACTAACCGATAGCCAATACTCCGCCTTTCTTTTCATGAACATCATTGCTTGAAACCATTTCAAAAATTTGGTGGTTGAATTCATCAAGGAATTGGGTAAGTTCTTCTTGTGGTACTTCTCGAAGTTCTGTTTTTGCATAATGATAGAGCTCGCGAGCCGTTTTTGTTTGTATGTCGACATTTCGGGACTTTAATCCAGCTACAAATTGTGTGACTTGATTTGACATCTTTAAATGTATTATATTTTATAACAAATCACAAACTCTGTTAGAGAAAGGTTGGTATTCCATATTTTTGATTTATGTTTTAACCCTTATAATGTGTTTAATACACTCAATGAAAATATAAAAATTAATGCAAGTTTTCAATACAAATGAAATTTGACATCACTGAGTACATTTTTGACCATTTCTGACATTGACAATTGACACAAAATTATAAAAACACAATATCCACTGTTTTTATTAAGATTTTCGACTTGGATGCTATTTTTTAGGCTATGTCAACATTTCATTTGTGGTCTTCGTATAAACAGATTCTTAGTATCAAGTAATAATAGTATTTTATAGTACACTCCTTCGCAATATGTTGATACTTGATACATCACAATGCGTAGTTTTTGGGAAATTTTGGCGGAAACTTGAGGCCTTTCCCACGGTTACTTGTCTGCGGCATAGTGTGATTGCGGCACGATACGGCATATAGCCATATTTCATGAAAGAACAAACGTTAACCCAAAAAGTTATATTTTGTTTGTCGTAAAAATGTTCTTCTTTGCATTTATGTCTTTAAAATTATTTAATAATTATATTGCGTTTGTCATTTTTTCATATCGGAGGCCAATATCCTTTCAAATGGTTCTCAATTACTTTATACTACGATTTTAAAAGCCAGCATCTTCCAAACTTACTCGCAAGTTCGCCACAGTGGGATGCACAGAAATTATTAAAAGATAACTAAAAAAAATATATGTAGGTAAAGAAATAATAAAATAAAAAGTGTCAAGATTCGATCGAAAGATTATTTGAATATTTTTACCGATTATTCGCATTGGCATAAATTTGAATCATCCAAATACTGCGATAAGGTACATAAACGACATATTATTGAAACAACGTTCAGCAAAATTTTGATTTTGGTTAATATTTTATGTTTTGCTTTGCTTAAAAGATTAGAATTTAAGTGATAAAAACTATACATTTTGTATTGTTACGAGGGCGCACTGAAAATTTCGGGAATCAAGGAAGTGACACAACATTACTATTTAAAAATGTATTTATTGCTTTTCGACGTATACTCCGCGAAATTTGGCACATTTTTCCATACGATGGAACCAATCATTGAAGCAACCATTCCATTCGGAAGTTGGGGACTCCAAAATGGCCGTTTTGTAGGCGTCCACAGCTTCTTCAGGTGATGAAAATCTCTGTCCACGCAATTTATTCTTTATTTTAGGGAAGGTATAGAAATCATTAGGGCTTAGGTCGGGGCTGTACGGCGGATGGTCTAATAATTCTATGTTTTCTTGCTCTAAAAACTCTTTTGTTCTGTGTGCGGTGTGATAACTCGCATTGTCGTGATGGAGGATGATGCGGCGGTTGCAGTTCTCTTTACGGAGCTCAGAAACGACCTATGGCAAACAAATGCTAGCATACCATTCTGCATTAACCGTTCTTTGTCCCTCAAGAGGAATAGTCGTAACATGGCCGGTTTTGGAGACAAACGTGGCCACAATTTTTTTGCAACACTCCGTGAACGAACAATTTTGTTGGCTTTAACCACAGATTAGTTAATAGTTTACTAAACAGATACATTACTCCCACACAAAAGCGAAAATACCTACGCTATAATAGCCTACAAAATCTTAATAATAATATCTGCTGTTCGCAACGAGAAGAAAATGTACCATAAGTACGCGCATAAAGAGTCCAGATTGTGTTGACCGCCGTGCGCCTCACGTGCAAGCGCGTCATCGCACGAATGCGCTAGGGTTGTTAATGACCTATGATGATAATTGTAATAAAACGAATCTTGCGAAATAACCATATTTTTTATTTGTCAATCAAATATGTTTGAATTTATAAATTGATTTACCTATACATTTTTTTCCTTTTCTGAATTCTTGGTTATTAAATCTTATCGTTAAAAATATCCTAAATCGCGTAAATAATTTTAATAAATAATCATGAGGAAAACAGGAGCAAAGCGGAAGAAAATCAATGGTTTGTAAAATTTGTAACACGCTGCTGCCAGGCCGATTCATTATGGCGTTGTCAAAATTATTTAAGACTTATTATATAATTTATTATATAATTTGGGTGTCCAGGTTGTCACTCAAATCACAGCACTGTTATGCTGTTGCTTCGATGTAATCTTATAGTTAAGAAAAAAATGACAATTTTTCATTTGTTTTTTGACTCTGACACCCATCCACTACACAATAATTACGTGGTTTCGGCATTTCGACGAGTAAACGCGGGAAACGTGCGCGGTGCAAGCGCTGAGGCGGGCGTGCGGCAGCCCAATGTCGGTTGTATCGTGGGCGATACGCAGAACGGTAGGCATATAACGCAGGACCTTGAGCGAGTGACGGAGGCCTGCTTTAACTCATTTTCGAACATCCAAACTCGTGACTGGTTTTTTGTTTTGGGTTCGTACGCGTATATCCAGGATTCGTCACCTAATACAATGTTGTATACAGCATTTGAGGATCCAGCGTGGAATCTTTCGAGAGTTCTAACGCACCAAGTAACGCGAGCCGCTTTTTGCTCTTCACAGAGCGAATGCGGTATCCATCGGGAAAACTACTTTTTTATACCTAATTGTTCATGCAAGATTATTTGTATTTGACCCATGCCAATGCCTAAAGTTGCCTGAATTTCGCGGTATGTCACATGTCGATCTTCCTCAATCAGCTTACGCACAGCATCAACGTTTTCTTGGGTGACTGCAGTTTTTGGACGACCTTGACGGGGATCATCACTGAGCTTGACACGTCCACGTTGAAATTCAGCAAACCAGCAATAAATTGTGGTTTTGGATGAGGCTTCATCACCAAATGCAGAAATCATCCGGTCAACACACTGTTTTTGTGTTAAACCACTTCGAAAGTCATAATAAATCATCGCTCTTGAATTTTCTCGAGTCAATTCCATTTTCTCAACGACTAAACAAGTTTGACAAAACCTTGTGACAAGACCGAAAATCTTTTTTTTAAATAAATAAATGGTATTCGATTTTTAAAACCAAGGACTTTTCAATTAAAAAAAAATTAATATTACAGGAACAGTGGAAATATTCCATTCCCGATACTTTTAGTGCAGCCTATGTATATAGATAACTACATAATTCTTTGCATTTACATAAAAGGTTATATTAAATTGTGTGAGTACGCTTATAAAAAGTTATTGCGGAATTATTAATGTGAAACGTCAAAAGGTATTTCTTAGATTAAGTTGAGTATAGTCAGTAAAAAAATAGGTATATAAGGCATTAACACTTTTTGAGAGCTGAGGGCTAAGGCTGAGGCCTTTATGTTCTTCACGGACTAACTAGTGGTGTAGTTTATGATCTACGACATCGACCTGGAATTGTGAGCTAAGCTCTACGATCTAAACGTAGTGACTATACAGGTAGTCTTTACTACGATCTAAAACGTTGAAAATGGTGTTTTTGGTGATTTATTGCATCTATGACAAAGACTAGGATTGATAATTTCTTGATAAAAACCCAATATTTATATTAATTTGTAATCGTACGCTAGTTATGAATATTTTTTATATATTAATATTAAATATGTAGCTTTCTACATAATTATTTAGTTAGTTAACGCATTGACGTCGTACTGTTCACATAATTAAATACCTATAGCAGCTACCAATTGGACGTTATTCATGTTAAGGGTGCGGGAGACTCAAGATGACTGAGTACTTCGCGAAGTAGCACGAGTGTGTAGTCACGTTTTTCGGACTGCGATCGACTTCGAAGAGAACTTTGTCATAGTTACTTCGCGAATAGTGTAGAGGAGGCATAAAAACATCAATCGGTTTGGTGTTGGCGTCTTTCGAGTGTAGGTGAACGAAAAGAACTATTAGACCGATTAACAATTTAATCAGCATTCAGAAAAACAGAAACGTTTCTTCTAGTACAGTGCCCAGATACGTTTCATATTCGTTCATCGTTCGCGAACTACACAATACTCATAGATTACTGTATATATACTAGAGACAAGACAAGACTTTTCTCTGTCTACGTTCGAAAGAATATCACTACGTTTTTGTTTTTGGTTCGTCGTTATTCTATTTACTCTATGGTCTGTTCTGTCCTATAGTTACCTGTGTACGGGCGGTCATCGTTCAAGATATCCGTATAAATTATTAAATGAAGGTGCTATAAGTGTTAATTTTATGAAAAATCTGTAGGTTATAAATTATTAAATAATGATCTTGCTAGAGATCAATAATAGAATTATAGAAGAAACTCTTACAGTTAAATATAAAAATGCACTGGCGCGGTGAGTACGTTACGCTTAGAAAGTTTACCAGTTTTTATGGCCGTTGCGTGTATAATGTTAGTTGTAAATAATACTTTATATCCGTATTATTAAAATTTTGTTTGACTTCTCATAATAGTTCTGGTTATCACTGAAATTTATCTATAACCCCCTTTTCATGAGTACCTTGACAAGTGTCAAATACCATTTCTCCAGGGTGGGCCCACGTTGGCTGCCGCAATCCAAGAGATTTATTGTTTTACATTAATTTATGAGGTAATACATGTGATTTTCCTCAATTCAATGACTAGGTATGACGTGATACGGTTCATATCAGCATGGATGACTCATATGGGTTGTTTGTACATACTTGAGGGGGGAGTGCGGAAACGTCCCATAAAGTGTTTTTGGATTCCAATTGGTGTAAACAATATACATTAAATTTGATATGTAGCACTGATATACTGAAACAACAATGAGGGGTGTAGATAAACATTCTTTATTGTTAGGATGTGAGTAATTATCATATGTTTGTTGTTTCATATGTTTATTACTAATTGGATTGTTCCAGCTTAAAACCTGAATCCATTGATGTGACAGTTGCTGACTTTGATGGAGTGCTTTTTCATATATCTAATGTTAATGGAGACAAAACCAAAGTTAGGGTATGTATATGTTTACAAATTATCATACCGTTGCAATTGCAATATAGGTGTGTCAAATGATCTAAATAAATTTTACAGCTGTGTCAGTCACTTCATAATTGAGTCTTACTATAGATAAATTTGAGATGAGAAATATTTAGTGTGAAATAGCCATTATTAAACAATATTTATAATATATTGATAGATAGATATATTTTAATAGTTAAGTTGTTGTAAATAATATTGTCATTACCTCTAATGATTTTTTAAGCAGTCATAAACTAGGATTAATAAAGAAATGTCATTTCCAGGTTAGTATATCATTAAAGTTTTACAAGCAGTTAGAGGAACATGGTGCAGATGAACTTCTCAAAAGGGTGTATGGACCACTCCTCACTGAAACAGAATCAGGTAAATATAAAAAGATACAGCGTACTATATCCCACTCCTGGGAAATACCTTCTCATTTCTGAGAAGGTATTTAGGGCAGGAAAAGTCTGCCACACTGCCCCAATGCATTTTGCTGGAAGGTTGGCTAGGTTAATTAATAAATTGTGAAGATTGACATTTTTATAAATTTAGTCCCATATTTTAAAAGTAATTTTAGTCTCAAGTAGAAGTGTAAAGCTAACTTTCAATATAGTACTCCATATCATTTCATGAATATGCTAAAAGTTACACATATTGTATTGAAACAAGAGATAGGATGCAGCATCTTATTTATAAAAACTTAGTGGCAGTAAACTTTTGATAAACAGTGCTGAATGATGAATTAACTAACTTCAAAGAAGCAAGGAATATATAATAACGTATATTTAAACATTTGCTTGTTGCATTAACCAGGTGGGCTCACCGAAGCATCTATATATACTTCATAAATTATTCTAACCTACTTAGCAGTAATTACTTCTCATTAATGCACACTAGTTTTCACTATTTATAAGATGTTTGCAAATTATCTGTACTCCCTACTATTAAAAAATGCTTGTTTATGCAGTTATGGTAGTTTTCATGGGGTAGATTTTGAGCCATGATACATTTCATAATATATTTTATAATAATTGTATTTAAACAATTTATTTGTCACATTGTTAACATTGTGTGACTAAAGCTAAGAAACATGCTTTTGTCATGCTGTGATGTGATGAGTTTCATACATGATGGTGATTGTGAACATTAATGTGTTCTGTCTGACAGTATGTTTTCTTCTAATTCAGATAGTGATTTTGAAGAGGACAATATCTTTTATTAATGAAACTTCTTGAGAGCAAAAAAATAAAAGGTACACTGTATACACTTTGTCATATTACTTTACCTTGTTAAAAAATTTTAGAGTGACGAAGAGAGATTCCATCAATATTATAGAATAATATATAAATATATAATTCTTTACTTTGACATGAGTTCAATTAGTTTGTGTAACAATTTTTAAATAAAATTGCATAGCCATCCATAGATGTGTGTCATAAGCCCCATAACACGACACCATACCTAAATGTATGAAACCGATAAGTTTCTGACGCATCACAACACCACCACACTGGTATGTTTCTAGTGTCATTTAAAAAAATTAAAATTATGTTACATTAGTGCTTATTGTAACAATTTGATAGCTTTATATCCATAAGCTGATAAGATAACTAGTTGATATGGGTGTAAATTCTTATAAAATTTACACATCTAAATATTCTTATTTCATCTTAATCTCCTTCAAATCTTACTCAATTTTTGGTTAACTGATTCTCACAAAAAAATGACAGTAAAATAATGAACAGAATTTATTGTTATACAGGCTACAATGTCTCAGTGTTACTGGATATGGAGAATGTTCCTGATGATTGGGAAGAAATAGTAAAGAAAGTTGGTCTCTTGAAAAGAAATTGCTTTGCATCTGTGTTCGAGCGCTATTTTAGGCTGCAGGAAGATGGGGATGTTGGTCACAAACGTGCAGTTATCAACTATCGGCAGGATGAAACTTTGTAATGTTTTTATCAGTATTTTTTTTCATAATGCATTTAGTGAATGCTATCTACACTACATTATTTAAATTTTTTTTTAATTTTGTTCTTTTAAATAGGATATTTTACTTAAGGGCCATTTCAAGTGTTATGTAAGCACTAAATTGTATCTTTGATTTGCTTATTTTTGACAGCAATATTTACTTATTTACTTTTTCGGATTTGAACACATGTGGTACGATATGGTCAACCATGACCCAGGATTTGGAGAGTTTGGTTATTACATTGAAGCGATTGGCATCTGACCTACGTAACCTTTAAACAGGGGAACCAGAAAAATTGAATCATGGTTACACATCTGGATATTCTAGATGTGCAGGTTTCTTCACGAAGTTTTCCCTCACTGCCGAGGTAATGGTATAAATCCTCATTACATTTCGAAAATCCAGAGTTGTGTGCCTGGAATTGATCTTTCAACTCCACGTATGTGAGGTGTGCAGTCTTATCGACTGGGCTACCATCGCCCTAATAGCAAACCACTATAAGTTGATTTTTCTATAGACTATAAATCCATATTTTTAGACTTGTTAAATACTGCTCATGAACCAATAAGGAAACTAGAATGGATTAAAAAAATATATAAATGTTTACGTAACAAAAATTCTGCTTGTGTAATACTTGAACGGCCCTTTATTTGGAAAAATTATGATACCATTGTTTTACTGATGATCCCCTGACATTTTCATGGTTGAGAAATACACAATAATATTGTTAATAGAAATTATGTAATTACACACTGTATTGTGACTGGAAGAATTTAAAACAATATCATGCATAATGCCCTTATTGTGTTGAAAATTAAAAAAGGAAAAGCACCCATGAATTTAGTCACTTTATATAATAAATAATAATAAAAGTTGTCTTTACTCTTAAAGTTGAAACTGACTTAAAATTAACCTAAGAAAATTTATCCATAATGAAATGCATATACTAAAAAAAATTGCACAACAAACTCTCATTGTTGTTATGTTAATATTTATCATGAAACATCAATATATAGCTAGAGCAGGGTAAAAAATGGGTGTCTTTGTGTTTTCATACTCTTATAATACTACAAGATCTCTTCTGTGCAGCTGTTAGCTTCTAACAATATTCAGAAAATAGTGGAAATGACCCAGGAGGATATCATGATGTATCAATTAAATAATCTATTCCTCCTCCTACTCATTGTGATGATAATGATGATGACTTACAAAAATGCTTAAATAAGTTGATCTTTTCAGATGTATACCAGAGTATTCGGTCTTGATCCAAAATATACACACCAAATTTATACTAATATAAGAATACAGAATAGAGAATAATATGCATAATATTAGCCATAGATGTCCATATAGTTACAATTCTGATTATATTGCAGGTATGTGGAGGCACAGGAAGATCGTGTGACCGTAGTCTTTTCCACTGTATTCCGTCATGAAGATGATATGGTTATTGGCAAGGTGTTCATGCAAGAGCTTAAAGAGGGAAGGAGAGCTTCACACACTGCACCTCAGGTACATTTAAATTAACTTAGTTTATGATCACTGTGACAAAACTATAAACATATAAAAATATTGCCCTTAATGTAATTTTCAAATACTTAATGAAGTCATTATTACAAGGAAAAAGGACTTTTATTCAGTTATAATATAATAAAGGCTTTTCTACAAAATAACTTTCTTTTATTAACTTATAGTGAGCAAGAAAAGGTGTTGTTAGAAATAAATTATCTTATCTTTTTGCAAGATAACAGACTGTTACTTTGGAAGAGGCTACTGGAATTCCTCTTTTCAAAGGAACAGAAACAGATGGAACAGATTTCTAACTTTACCTAGTACAGCCTATTCCTAAACATGGCTCATATTGATTTTGTGGTGCTAAAGAATCAAAGAATGGTTTATTCTTTGGAGCAGAAACTCACATAGAGTTTCTGCTCCAAAAGTGATATCAACTCGGTATGACAAACATCCAAAATCAGAAATCCGGCACTTTTTCTGTCACCATGACAATACGGCACTGCACATATCTGCCAGAACATTAAATTCTTCAGTTTTTGTCTATCTTAGATCACCCGCCATATTCGGACCACCTTGTGAATTTTACCTGCTTCCAAAATACAAAAAGAAATTAAAAAGCAAGAGATTTGCAAGATGTGAAGACACATTGGTTGCTTATAGTGGGAACAAACATAGTCAGAGGTATTCATCAAGTGAGTTAGACTTGTAAAAAAGTGAATACATTCTTAAAGGCCTTCCCCGTAGGATGCCACATAGACGGGATATTTGTTATCAGGAGGATGCTGCTGTCCATCTGGTTCAGTTTTACTTTGTCACAGGATAACATGGGGTAGTCTATATACTTATAATGCCATTACATGTTTACCATAATTAAATGAGTAAATCATAACATAAAGAATTAAAAGAATGTAAATGAATTAAAATAATGTAAATGCACGATACCGTGGGGAGTAGGACTATATGATAATTAATAATACAATACAATAACTTTATTTCAGGCATCAAGGACTTAAAAATTAAGAACATTGGCCCATAGCAATATATACCTTAACCTAAAAATATATATAAAATATAGACATAACTTAACACTATTTAGGGAACTTTTTTCTTTGGCGCGTCCCTGTATCGGCGAAACACTACCCCAGAGGGCCAGAAATCGGGAGCGAGGAATGTCTCTTTATGTTTTGCAGGAACCTGGAGTACGTAGGATTTGAAGTTCGTTGACCTATTAGACTCCAGACGCTGCAAATGTAAAGAGATCGGATTCTCAATGCGGCATCGGCTTCGTTCTTCCACGAAGCGCAGGACGTCTTCTCCCGACGTACTTTTGTCCAAACGGGAGATGTAGAGTTGTATGGTTGGCTCCACAGCACGCAGAGTTGTACTCGCGTTTATTTTCGCGGTCACACGCTGGTTACAGACGGGTCGCGACCGACGTTTCTTCTCAACAAGAGTAAACCCGTCCTTATCAATCTTGTCTTGGGTCACCACTGGAACTGATTTTATTTCCACATTCTTCCGCTTTCGACCACAAGAGGGTGCCGGTTGTAAAGATTTTCGGGCAACATCCGCAAACGTCTTCCCTTGTTTTGAGGTTGGCTTCGGCGGAAGAGTACCAATGGGTTCAGTCAAGGGTTGAGGTGGTGATGCAATGACGACCGAGGTCGCCCTAGTTTCTCGGTCATCAACCCGTTGACAGACGGTATCGCGTGACGGAGTCGCAATCATCGGTGAAATATGACTACTATTACGGTTACCGCGTGTCGTATTCACATTCTGCGACGGCGGTGAATTTGCAGATGTTGCAATTATGTTGCGCAACATATTGACTTCGTTCCTCAGCTCTGTTGCGGCTCGTTCTGATTCCTCAAATTTGGAACGGATGTCGGTAATATCGGCTCTCAACGTGGTGATTTCTTTCAACAATCTGGTGACGTCTACGTGATCGAACGTCACGGGAGGCAGCTTGTTGAGATCACGCGCGACGAAAGTTGGGATGTCATCAGGGTCGGTCTCATTGAACAGCCTGAAGATGTCTTGCAGGTCTTTCTTACCGCGTCCATCCCTGTGACGTGTGATAAGACGGATTTGGGTCACGGCTGAATCTGCTAACACATTCTTCGCTTGGATGATCTTGTCCTCGGTGAAGCTTGTCATCAGTATCTGCTCCAGAGACACCTGGTCCATGACGTCCAATTTTTGTTGAACAAAGGCCAGCAACTCGTGGATTACGACGGTTTCGGAACGTTTAGTTTGACACGCCATTTCGAATTATTTTTGCGCAGTAGGTATGCTTACGCTACAAAAATACTGTAAGTTCGGCATTAGAGCCGTCACGTCATTATGAAGCGACTGCACTAACCGGTAGTAAAATTGCGACTGATTAAGCTTCTAGGTTTAGTTTTTTTTTATTATTATAGTTTTTAATATTGTATATAAAGAATGTCACATTTTGTATAACAAGATTACCTTTCTACTACTATATTATTGCAATTTATAACTTGTTAAATGTACACTGTTGATCCACTGCTGAATATTATAGCCGTTTCAAGAAAGAGCATTGCATTGCATTTTGCATGTTGCTCTTAAAGTTAATAACTTATATTTATGAACTTGCGATCCGCCCCGGCTTCGCACGGACAATTTCTGGATTTCAACAACAGCACCAACTACCGGGTCCAATTGTAAATTTAAACCATTCACCCACTAAAAGCACACAAAATATTAAGTAAAATTGTTAGAGTCGTTTTCGAGTTTTAGCGAGACCAATTGATTTTTATATACAGAGATTTGTTATTGAAAATAGTTGTGTGTAATATTTTAAATGTATCATTTATATAAATATTTAATGTTGCATTATTTAAGTAATACTATATGTTTTGTGATAAAGAACTTGCAATGTGATCGTGTAACTTTGGTGGTGCCAGTGGAAACCGCTTTGCAAGCATACTATGCTTTTTCATTATGATAACATTTTATAACATAGAATAAGATATTAATAGTTAAAAATTCATTGGTTTATAATTAATACTATATTTACACAATACAACTAAACCAATCATCAAAATTAAATCAGACTTGTTCCCACTACGGTTATGCAATTGTACTGCAGGTTTAAAACAAGCAGCTGGTTTTAACTCGTAAAGTATATACTATTAATTTAATTTCAGGTTCTATTTTCACACAAAGAGCCGCCGTTAGAACTCGTCGATACAGACGCAAGAGTTGGTGAAAATATCAGTTATGTTACATTTGGTAGGTGCTGAACTTTTTTTACCTCTTACTTTTTTTAAATTTCAAACACCAAACTTTATAAAGTATTATATGTGACTACAAAACTTTATAAAATATTATAACATAGGCTTTGATGTATTTTCGCTGTAGCGCGACGATAGCGCCGCCACAAAACATTAAACATTTTCTTGGTTTTCTTTCTTTGGACCTGTGTTGTTCTTTTATCATGACAGTATAACAAACAGCAAATAATCAATGGACTATATAAAAAAAAGGGTGTTATATTTTAGGATATTTCTATCTTTGCTCTTTTCCGGGTATGTCTGAGATTTACTTCATATTTAATTTAAAATATTTTTTTAGTAGTTATAACAAATTATATATGTAAAAAAATCTATTTTATATATTAAATAAAAAACTTATTTTAGTTAAACTAATTTCTTAGAAAAAATCATTTATAATGATACCTTAGTATTTCACTGTAGCATTTCTGAAATCAAGTCTTATTTGCAACATATGTAGGCTGCACAAAAACATGTTATATATAAGTATTAAAATTACATTAGTGTTTTAAAAACATAATAAATTCTATATAATATAGTATAGAATATATTACTGGTTCCTTAAATACATCAGTAGTTCATTTCAAACATAAACTCTCACGTCTCTTACCTTTCTGGTTAGGCAAAGACTACGGACTTCCATATGGCAGGGTGTGGACTGCTAACTCAAAGGTCTTAGGTGCGAATCCGCCGTTCGATTACTGTCGTGAACCACTCCTAACAGAAGCATTTTAGGCTTACCAGGAGTGATTGAAGGAAATATTTTTTTTATAGGAACGAGTGACAAATGAGCACACAGTCAATCTGATGGTTAGTGGTTGGTGTGGCCCATAGACATCTACATCTATCCTTGTTTGCGAATCAAAATGCAGATGCGTTGTCACTTGTGACGACTAAGATAGAATGCCTTTTTTCCAGTAAAAAGAATCTCCGGTTTTCTACAGTCACCATACAAAACACATGAGTGTTATGCTGGTAATCTGTGAGAGCGTGGTCCTTCCCCGGTTGAGCCGACCCATTCGTGCTACAACTATACTGCTAATATAGCTGCAGTATGGCTCTACCAATGGGCAATGGGCCGGCCATATAGCTCGAAGAACCGACAACCGATGGGGAAGAAAGGTTCTCGAGTGGCAGCCTCGTCCCGGTAGGCGGAGTGTAGGGCGTCCCCCCACGAGATGGAGTGACGACCTGGTAAGACATGCAGGAAGTCGATGGATGCAGGTGGCTCAGGACCGTGCTTTGTGTCATTCTTTGGGGGAGGCCTATGTTCAGCAGTGGACTTGTGAAGGGCTGTAATGATGATGATGATGATGGCTCTACCACATATAGAATATTAGTAATGTTAATAGGATAATTAGAATTTTGAAAAAAAAAATATGGTTGTAATGGTTTCGGCTTATTTTTTGCCTCAATTGAAATGTATGCCGTGTTCGGTCTTATTTTCTATATCAGTGTGAGCGTAGTGTTAAAAGCAAACAGATAAAAAGTGTGTAAATGTACGTACAATGTGTACTCGCGCTGCGTGTTAGTGCTGTTCCCGCGGCACACGTGCGCGGCGGCGCGCGCCAACACGATCGACCTGCTGCACATGTTCCGCGACTACCTGCACTACCACATCAAGTGCTCCAAGGTGTACGTGCACTCGCGCATGCGCGCCAAGGCCGGCGACCTGCTCAAGGTGCTCAACCGCGCGCGCCCGCAGACCTCCTCGCGACCCACCGAGCGGAAGACTATCACGTTAGTACAAATTTATTTATTCTTAATTGTACACTGAACACCTTCACCAACAGGATTACAAAAGTCGGTATTCTCCAAGTCAACCCGGGATAGGTGGAAATAATGTGCTAGATACCAAAAATAAAAGAACATTATGGTGAATGTTTTATTTTATAGGATAAGGGTGACAAACGAGCACACAGCTCACCAGATGGTAAGTGGTTGCTGTGGCTCATTGACATCTACATCTATCCTCGTTTGCGAATCAAAATGCAGATGCGTTGTCACCCGTGAGGACTAAAATGGAATGCCTCGTTTCCAGTAAAAGGGGTCTCCAGTTCTCTATACTCACCATACGAAACACAGCAGCGTTAAGCTGCTATTTTACGCTAGTACTTTGTGAGAGTGTGGTCCTTCCCCAGTCAAGCCGAACCATTCGTGCTACAACTATACCAGTAAATATAGTTACAGCATGGCTCTACCACATATAAATTAGGAAAAATCATATATATATATATATATATATATATATATATATATATATATATATATATATATATATATATATATATATATATATATATATATATATATATATATATATATATAAACATAAACTTATTACAAAGTTAACTAAATGATTACATTGACCATATTAAGTAATGTCTGTATATTGCGCAATTCCTTTTAATGTAAAAATTTCTGACAAACATATTATACATCTATAGAATTTAGCCTGCGAGAGAATAAGATACTTACTGTACAGTGTTTCCCATTATCTCAGTCTCGCCTGTGTGCAGTGCTTCATAGCCTCCCCACTCTTGTCTACTTCTTCTTCTTCCTTTATGGCGCATGTCTACTTTTCTAAAGGTTTCACTTCTACCGCATGTGAACTGCATATATGTTTTTTTTACTATTCTAAGGTTTAAGCCAGTGCTTGACTACTTCACTTTGCAATCCTCTTTACCTGACTTCAAAAAGAAGGAGTTCTCTTTTTGTTCTTAAAAAAATGGCTCCATCGTCGTTTTAATTTTTACTTTCTCTTGTACCTCTCAATCTTAGCATTGGCAGACAAAAATCGGAAAGTTTTGTTTAAATCCTTAGAGCTCATATGTTGGAAATATAAGCTGTTGTTTAACCTGCCAATTAGCTTAATAACCTAAATTAGGAAATAACATATTTTGTGGTTTGTTATTTCCTCTGACTCCACTGACTGTGAAACATTGTGATGTGAACTTAAAGATGAAAAAATTGAGGATAAAATTTAGACTGTATTCTAGTTGTTACCTTCACATTACAAAAAAAAAAATTATTTCCCACAATTTGATTGTACATAGCTTGTGTGAGGGACTGGTGTCTAAACTAGGTACAAATCTGTATTATGGATCACCAGGCCTCCACCCCTCGGATATTACCTTGAAGTTGTTAAAAAAAAACCTACTTCAAACAACTTAAAAGAATACTCTTTTTATTGGAAACGAGGCATCCCATCTTAGTTCTTAGGGGTGACAACTCATCTGCATTTTGATTCTTAATCGAGGATAAATGTAAATGTCTATGATTCACAGCATCTACTTACCTTCTGGTAGTATAAAAAAAAGCATAAAATCATTTCTTTATAACTTTAGCTTCCGAAGTTGGTGCCAAGTCAGTGCATCAACTAATAAAAGCCCCGAAGTTCAGTCAGTCCGTCTTTGTACTTTGTGTAACAAAGTTTAAATCAATAAATAAATAATTCCAGGGGAAGAACGTTTATTAGGCGAGATTGAGTGTTGCGTGCCTGCGGGTCGTAGGCGCCGAATACAGCGTAGCTGTTCTGTTCACGCGACACCGGCGCGCCACTCCGGGAACACTTGCCTCCAGCGCCGCATCGTGTTCACTGCAGACGATACTCTTACTTATAGCTATCATTTTAAGAGCCAGACTTGATTGACGTGACACTAGAGATATTATTCGAGTGAACGCGTTAACCTACCCCGAAGCTCCCACAATGTGCGTATTTCTCATATCCACCATATAGTTAAAGATTAAATATGTACTTTGTGTTGAGTTTTGAGTATTTATCGAAAATAATATTCGTCACAAAGTACTTACTATTCACCATGTTTTGCTAACATTTATTATTCGAAACTGATTGCCAAATATTGCATATGCTCAATATTTATACCAGTAGATTATTTTGCAAACGCGAAACGAAATGTGCACATTGTTATACAGATATTTATTAACTATAAACTCTTGAAGCCTAGCCTAGTGAAGTCAAATGTTGCCGTAGTGTTTGTTGACAAAATTATGCTTTATTATAATTATAATGAGAGTTCTATTTATAGCGATGGCACTGCGACGTTCGTCATTTGGGTTCCTAAATCTATAGTATACACTGTCATGTAAATGCATTGATAGATCACTTTAGCGGCCATCAGGAGTGGACTTTTCTATTAGCTTATTTACGTAATTTTGTTGATGTAAGTTATGCAAATACCGATCCTCATGTAGAGTAAAACTGTATTATAAAATGTAGCCTATACTAACTGTTTCCGGTTACAAACTTGTTGAAATGTATATCTCTGGAGTGAGAGACAAGTATCATGCACAAATTCTTACGAATTAATCAATGGTTATTTTGAAATGCACTCCTCTTTTTTATTGCTCTATGCAATAATGTGAACAATAATAATTTTAAATGTTATTCTGTATTGTTTTTAGGTAGGCCCCATTCAATTATTAATATAAGTGAAAGTGTATAAATAATTTCCAATAGATACTTCCATAGTCAAGAGAATTTGATAAATTAATTATAATGGCCTTACTTATAAAATATATATATATATATATATATTTAAATTCCATTTGCCTAGTTTGTTGAAGCCATTGACGCTCTGGTTGTTTAGTTTCGCTAGTTTAAAACTTGGTATGTTTCTGATACCTGTAACTTAAGTGGAATTAGTTGATTCACATAATTTATTTCATTGGATAAAATTGAAATTTGTTTTTTAAAACCTCGAAATTTTATTTATAATTGTATCATTATTGGAAATTTAAATTTTAAGCTACCAAAAACAGCCATAAAAAATTATAGTTTGTTCCCATACCACTTAAGTTGCTCAACAAACAAAGGTTTTAAATTTGTTACAGCTTCAACAATTTTCCACAAAATGAACTGTAAAACAAAATGAAATGAGTAATTAGTGGATAAGGTCATTATTTTATTTGCATGAGAATGTGGCAAATCTAGAAAGTCATGGACTGAGAATTTTAGGATATCAAAAAAGTGTTTGGAAATCCAATGGATAAAATTCACTAAGTCATACTTATTAATTAGATATAATTGTGGCATAAAAACGATATTCGTGACAGGCGAAAATACAATTATGTTTTAAATAAAAAGAATCGTAACATCATCACGTAGAAACAATTTATAACTATTTAAAAATTGTAGCTAACTTGAATTTTATGTAATTTTTATTTGCAAGATGTATTATTTATGTATTATAAAGTAAGTTAAATGTTGCTTTAAAGTTATTGCTTACAATTTGATCATTGTTTTTACTGACAGGTTTTAACGCGAGATTATGTAAACTGCGTAATGTAAACGTTATTTGTGAATATGTAATTATTCTTGTGATCTAATATCCGTTTATACTGTGTTTTTTATTTTTTAGATTATAGAAGACATTTTACTGCAACAAATATTAATTATTTGACTCTTAATACAGGTACACAATACAACAAATATTGTTTTTATTTTATCATACATTTCTTTTTTAACAGTCTATAAGCTCATTGCTGGATATAGATATTCTCATGTAAGAACTTAATGTATACACACTGTTAGATTTGTTTATACATACTACGCTTGGTAAGCTGGTAAGCCGACAAGGGTGTTCTGAGGACACATCCCGCACTTAGTTATTTATTATGTGCGTGATATGGTGTGGGAATGTGCGATGTTGTTGGCTAATAATAGTACATTTTGTGGGTTCAATATAACTTCTATTTGTATAAACCATAACCTTGGCTGGTCCGTCTAAAATTCAGGTAACCGTGTGGCTAGAGATATTGGCCCCAAATCCATGCGTTGCTCAGGTATTGAGGTGCCAGTACCCGGTATCATGGGCACGGGTACCGTGGCGTAATCAATTTTCTGGCGCGTATATCGACATTTCACTTTCTGTTGGCAGCGACATTTTTAAAAACTAAAGTTTTCAATTCACTCACTTGACTAGGTGAAAACCGATCGCGAAATTTACACTAACACGCTAGCCTTTATCGCCGTGACGTGAGCCGTTCGCTATTGCGCAGTAACAATGTCCGACACGTTGCACCGGATTACTAAGTTCAGACTTCGGGGTCACCAATGTGAGTGATATGGTGTGGCAATGTGCGATGTTGTTGGCTAATAATGTAGGCACTTGTTACTAATGCCTAACAACCTCGCAATATGACTCACAGAAGGTGCCTAAGGTGCCTATCGAGTTCAGAAATTAAAATCTCAAAAGTCACTGATGTATTCAAAAATTACAATCTACAGGTTAAGCTATATGTTACGGGCGATACAATATATTTCCTACTTGGTGGCGGACTAGCGTGGGCTGTGACGGCACGACAGGCGTTCGCCGTCGAGCGCACTCCGGACACAAGTGTAAAATGTCAAATCAACAAAATATATGTAACTACTGTGTCCCTTCAATTAATTACATTGGTCAGCATCAAGCCTTTTAGTCTGCAATACAAATTAATGACTTGATTTTCAGTGGCGAAGCTAGGGCAAGCCCAAGATATGGTTTTGTTGTTTTTAGCAGTTTTATAAAAATTTACCTTTTCCTCGCCGATTAGCACTTTAACACTTCAATTCATCACAAAGAACACTATTATTCTCCATTTTCACTAAAAATCTATAAAAAACTATAAATTTCCAACTCAATATTGCGAGTTTCATTCGCTCAAGTAAACACACAGAGTAAACATTGGAATGTGAAGTTGTGAAGTGAACTTTGCAAACGTATCGCCCGCACGTCCCCACGCTCGACAACTTCACACTGTAAGCCTGGCTTCTGATCTCTATATTTAATTATAGAACATTTTTCCAGAGGTCAGAAAGGGAGCGATTGTCTTCTCGAAAGCCCGATAAAAAGCTCACACGTGCGAGAGGGACGACTAATCGTTCAACTGCATGTTCGCTTTGAGACAGAACACGAATCAGTGTATTTCGAATTGAAAGCAATCTGCCAAGTGTTGACGTTAAATAATAAGGCTACGAGGTCACGACCTGTGTAGAACAGAGGAGCGCTTTGAAACAGTTTACGAGTTATTTTTCTGCCGACTTCCAAAAAGGAGACGGTACTCAATTCGACTGTATGTTATTTTCTTTTTTTATGTGTGTTACCTCATAACTTTGTACTGGGTGAACAGATTTCGATGATTCTTTTTTTACATGATAGCTGATAGTTCTCGTGTGGTCCCATATGAATTTGATCAAGGTCAGACCAATAGTTTTTGAGTTATTCTTAAATAACTTATATTAAAGTCGGCTGTACAAAACTTTTAATTTTAAATTATATTAGTTGATATTATTGATGGCAAGCCCGGCTTCTCGGCTTCTATGGAAGCTTCGCTACCGTTGATTCTTATAAGTAGCGATAGGCTTTGTGCTTCCGTCGCTGCATTCAAGCTTTCCTCCGTGACGTATCCTACAGTAACGCTGAACGTGTAAAAGATTCGCGCACCGTAATGTAAGTCACTGCGCTATGAATAGGCATGGATGACGTTTTTTTGCCTAGAAAGGACACACACACACACACACACACTGAAAACGAACTTTTAAATTCACACAAAATTCACAGCTTAATACTAGGAGTAAAAGTATTCTGTGGCTTAATAGGTCGATCTGTCAGTATTTATTTGTTAGCACTGACCTGATAGAGGTCAGTGTATTTTAGTAACATTTTAGAATTCTTCGACGACAATGTCTACCCTGTGACCACAGACTATTATGTGTTTGACATTGACTGTATGTAAAAAAGTACATAATTTGTATAAGCTACAGTTATTACCGTTAGTACCGTGTAGTGGCGGTTAAGAATATCCACTACCCCATATCTTTCCGTGGGTGTCGTAAAAGGCGACAAAGGGAAACAGGCAGGAGATAGGCAGCAGCATCTTCCTGATAACAGCAAAAATACAATAAAAAAACTGCGGATGCCAACCCGCTCGCCAAGCGTGGCAACTATGGCAATATACCCTCCTATGAATGAATGTAACAAAGAGACGGCCCCCAGTCCCCGGCGGCCCCGCTATTCCTGGCTACGGTGGCGACCATGGTAACGGCGGGAAAGGGGGTGCTAAGAATCTCCGGTGGAGGTTCGGTTGCCACCTACGACGACTCGACCTGGCAACATACAACGCACGCACCCTGAGGACTGACGAGAAGATTGTGGAGCTGGAAGAAGAGATAGACAAGTTACGCTGGCATATTATAGGATTATCCGAAGTCCGAAGAGAGGGGGAGGAAACGGTAATCCTCGAATCCGGCAACTTGTTCTATTACCGGGAGGGCGACCATCTGTCTCAAGGAGGTGTCGGATTTATCGTCCACAAGTCTCTCGTTAACAACGTTGTAAAGATTGAGAGTGTGTCGACGAGGGTTGCGTACCTTATACTCAGAATCACCAAACGGTATTCGCTGAAGGTCATACAGGTTTACGCACCAACCTCGGCACAGCCCGATGAGGAGGTGGAGGAAATGTATGAGGATATCTCTAGAGCCATG